TGCTATGTATCATACATATCTGACACATTATCTATCAGCCTTGGCATAAACATATAATCATCAGTCAAAAACATTCTTAATTTCATCTTTGGCCTAAGAAAATATAGGATTCCTTCAGTAAAATGCTGTGTTACACCAATGATAATCTAAGATACAGATGTTGTAAACATTTCTGTACATTCTTGCTTCAAAATACATATTTTGAATACAACAAAACGCTAGGCACAGATCTTCATTCTCACAAATATTCAAACCATCAAATCTGAAGGACCACCATCCATATTGTATAATAGGACCTCACCTTAAATAACCACGCTATCTTTTAAAGAACCACCACAAGCAAATGTTTTTAAAGATAGACAATTGGAAAAATAAATTTCGTCACCGAGGAAACTTAAACATACAAGCCTGAATTTTCTGTAACAAGCAGATAGTAGTTTTTTTGTGCTATGTTTTCCATAAGGAAAGAATTTGGAGCTGATTTTAGAGATAGTGTGTGTTGTTGTAGGGAAATAGTCTCAGTTTGGGATTCTATCTGCATGAAGGCTTCCATCGTCCTTATCAGAATGTAGGTCACAAAGATGTCTCACCTGAATTGGTTTATTATATAAATAACCTGAGATACTGTTTTTATCAAACATTTTCTTAACAGATCGTCTGGTTTATTTTCAGGATCTAATTTGAGATTAAGAGATACAGTGAAGTGCTTTTGTGGTTTTGCTGATAACATTTTTTCTCTCTCTAGTTTTAAACAGATATATCTGAAAACGAAGTTGTGTGAACACAGGCAAGATAAGCTCTGTACATTCATTGCAGGGATTTGTAGCTTTGATGTTGCACAAAATAACAAGAAATATGTTTTCAGTTTGTCTTCCCTGAGGATGATCAAAGTGATCCACCTCACAGTAGACAGAGGGCGCTTCCAGCCTGCCATTTTAGAACCAGTGGTCCCAGCATCTGTGTCTAGGCAGGAACACCATTAATTGGCACTTCCACTTATATGTACAAGATACATTTGTGGTGGATACTGAACAATTTTTGCGGGGAGAGGTACTGAAAATCTGAAATAAGTTATATAATAATGTATATGAGATAAACAGAACCCGAGTCAATTCTATAAAGGCAGTATTACATGGCTGATGCTATAATATTTCACTCAACACACTATCAAATGAGTTGATTTATCATGATTGTAAGTCAGTGATATGTACAAGACTTGTTTTAGCCAGAACAAGTTAATAGTTAATTTTAAAAACTATTTTGTGGTTGAAATCAAACAATATCAAATATGTTGTTATCTTAACTATTTTAATCCCAATGCCCGTCTCCAAAATATTACAACAGGTTTTGTCTCCCATTTACACATAATTCACACTACAATCCACATGTACATTTGCAACCTCTTGTCCGCCACCATTCACGACTTCATCCCTTCCTTCACTCGCACCCCCACACCCCCACACCCATCCCATCCTGATGACACCACCTTCCACTGTCTCCCAAGGCATCTATATGCACGCCTCACCATAGCAGTGACAGGTCTCTAGAATTGAATTTCAGGCCTGCAAATTTCATTTAAAAATGTAAAAATGTATGTCACTTTTCCCCTCTAAAATAGTTTGTATGTAAAATCGTTAACCTACCTGTCTTACACGGAATATCAGTTCAGTCGTCTGGTCAAGCGCGTGCTGGACTGTGATGGAAGGGAGGTAACTCGTGAAATTCGTTGTTCAATGGGAATAAGAAAATATGACAACTGACAAGTGTAAAAAAACATCTTGATTAATAAATTCACAGATACTGCAGGAATGAAAACATGACGACAGTAAAATTGCTTGCTAATGCAAAAGAATACATTTGGTAAAGCTTCATAAAATCAATCGAACTGATTATACTATTTCTATACGTGAATAAGCTACATCATCAAAAACGAATAAATAGTCGTAATAATTGCAAAATCTACTTCCTCCTATTCGATGTTTGAAGGTATAACATGTCTACATCATAAATAAAGCTAAAGTCATTGATAGAGAGAGAGGGGATGGGTGTACACCCATGTGTAAGGCGATTAAATGAAACAATTTCGAAATAGGTATTCGACGGTAGTGTATTTGATACGGGCATCACATAGGATATATACGGACCTTCCTATAAATGCTCCTGAAGCGAAAGCTGTTTTTCATTTACTTATCGTAAATATGAGAATAAACGCTGGTGATTCAACCGAGGCGATGAGACATATCGAGTAGAGACTTTTAACCCGACATTGAAAATGGAATTCATTTAAAAAAGGCCTGCCCCTGAAAAACGCCTTGCCGAAAAGGATCTTCATTAGACCAGAAATTAGTGAGTGAGTGAGTTTAGTTTTACGCCGCACTCAGCAATATTACAGCTATATGGTGGCGGTCTGTAAATAATCGAGTCTGGACCAGACAATCCAGTGATCAACAGCATGAGCATCGATCTGCGCAATTGGGAACCGATGACATGTGTCAACCAAGTCAGCGAGCCTGACCACCCGATCCCGTTAGTCGCCTCTTACGACAAGCAAAGTCGCCTTTTATGGCAAGCATGGGTTGCTGAAGACCTATTCTACCCCGGATCTTCACAGGTCACACCAGAAATTATGGCAAATCTCGTACGTTGCTTCGAAAAGGCAAACATATAATGACAGTGTCGCACGTCTATTCATTTACAAGAGAACTTTTTCACTGACAGTGCCTCACATCAAGGTTTTATGTTATATTTTGTTTGTATTTTAAGTCAGCGAACGAAATGCGCATAAAATAAAAAAAGATCCCAATATCGCTTCAGTGTTCAACGAAGCGGACGTATATGTACTTGCAAGACGCGACTGAAAAGAAAGCATTTCATGCTCTTAGGACTGCATTTGTCATATTTTTTTTCACGCGCCACCGTGACCTTGGTTGGTTGTTTAACGCCACACCCTGCAATATTCCAGCTATATGGCAGCAGACTGGAAATAAATCGAGTCTGGACCAGACAATCCAATGATCAGCATCATGAGCATCGGATCTATACAATTGAGGATACTATGACACGTGGCAGTTAAGTCAGCGAGCCTCTTACGACAAGCCTCCATTGGTTACTGAAGATCAAGTCTAACCCAGACCTTCACAGGTGTACAATAAAAAGAATCTATCTTGATATGCATGTTCATATCTAGATCAGAAAAGGAGACAAAAACATGGGTAAATTTAATTCTGTTTTATTTTGTCAGTTTTGGAATGGCAGTGGGAACTCTGTGTATGGAAAAGAACAAAAGACCTGTCGTAGAAACTAATTTATTCTGTTTTCTTCGGTATTCAAGAAATAATAAATGTATACAACAAGATCATTTGTTGTCAAATTGGTAGATTTTGAATTCATAACACAAATTGCACTGCAAGCAATAGCAGCAGAGAAACAAAAAGAAAAGTAGCAGAGAAAATCAAAATAGATTGAATCAGATGTTACGGTCACAAAGTTAGCAACCTCGGCTATTGAACAGTTTTATACCCTTTAATGCATTATAGTGTGGGCTAGTTACTTTCAGGCATAGCGAGCCCGACTGTCTAGCAAAATGTGGAAACTATTTCGCACACTGATGGTAGGTCCTGAGTTCGATGTCGGCGGAAATATAAAAAGGTATTGGTGAAAAGTATCTATTTTATTTTCGTGTTGGCGGCCAATGTACAGTCAGTCTGGGGTTGAAAAACACAGAAACAAATGTTGCCCTTATCATTGTGGTGAAATCCCACATCTGGTACTCAATGGATCTTTGAATTTTCTTGCTGATTGGTATAAATTACCTTTCCTTCTACTACCCAAAGATGGGCTCCTGGAAGTAGACTAACAACTAGTCTCTGAAATGAACATATTTTACTGAAAAATGCTCATAGTAAAGAAAAATATAATATAATGAAAAGGAGCCCTGAGACTTTGCCACATTTTCTAGACTTGCGTGGGCTTTCTTGGATATATTTGCTTCAGGGTCTGTACGACAGGCTAACATGGAAACATCTCTGCATGAATAACTCTCCACAAATCCACACCAGATCCTCAACCTAATGATGAAACATTTAATTTGCACTTGTCTTGAAGAATTCGCATGCTATAAGATATTATAGAGTTGACAAAGGCACACACACACGAGAGCACACACACACTCACTCGAACCGTTGAAATAGCAAAGCGCATCTATTTAGTTTCCGAGTCTGTTCAACTTCATTCGAGCATGGCTGCTGGTAAGACAATAGAGGAATAAGATTGGCAGCTCACATATGACATAACGAATTGGTGGGGTATCGGCATACACTGCATGGGGGAAGATGTATGTCAGCAATATACATGTCAGCAATATACATGTATATATACGTGAATGAGTAGTAACCAGTTAGCAGGGTGTGGCCTCTATAGGGCATTGCGGACAAGACACTGTATTCCATTGTGACAAATCGACTAACGTTTACTCCCAATACTAAGAGAGGTCGCAATCGGATACAAGTTAATACCACACATCAAAGTTACCACCATTGACACCAGAGATGACAGAGCTGTTGGTCGATGGGTGACATCGACATCTTTACAAATTCGTTGAGATACAGCAGGTGGTTTGATATGAGAAGTATTCGTACACCGTTATATTATCTTCAATGTACCAACATAATGGACTACCATATAATTACCTTTCATATTTATCAAATCGTTAATGCCGTGTGCACGCAAAACCCCGTGTTTAAGTTTATTTTTTGTGACGTGAAATACCCAAGGGGCATAATTAATAGATTAAATAAATGCTGATCAATGTTTTACTCAACGACTTTGTAACTAATTTCTTAACGTTACACAATTTTAAAAAAACATCCACAGCTTCCACTGTCATTCTACGACTACACTTGTGACAGCAGAACTGCTACAAGTCTATCTCAAGGACGATGCAATTTAACGACCTTTTAGTGAACCTTTTCCACCCAGCTTGCACAAAAGCCACGTGTATAGGTGTCTAGCAATGACAATAACGTGTTTTGAGTACACTTGAACTAAACTTCCGGAGGCCACAGGTGTATTCCCTTGGTGGTTCTAGATGCCACAAAGGAAACCTTGGTGATTGGAACTGTCAGGAAGGAAACCAATAGCACCACAGTAAAGTGGCATTATCCAAACGGTTCGATTTCTAACACCAGTTATAATTTCAAACGGTGGCAGTAACCACTGTGCAACGTATGGTTCTGACTCCCCTTAGGAGGTTCTGGTTCCCCCAGGAGGATCTGATTCCCCCAGGACGTTCTGATTCCCCCAGGACGTTCTGATTCCCCCAGGAGGCTCTGGTTCCCCCAGGAGGTTCTGATTCCCCCAAGAAGCTCTGGTTCGACAATCACCATCATGATTAAGATTGCACTGTGTATGCTGATGACCTTGTCCCAGACAACAGATGGGGGGTATCTGCTGCCTGCCGCCAAGGACGCCGACGTTCCCGTGGGCCCAGTACAGTTCATGATGGCCCAGGACACACGTTACAGTAGTCTGGCGATGTCGTCCGCTGGCGCCATGCTGTGGACGTCGTCCACAGACTCCCTGACAGACTGCGCTCGACTGTGTGTTCGGGAGGTAACCTGTGTGGCGTTGTTCTACAATACGCTCACCGGCGTGTGTGTGGCTCTCAACGTTGAGTACGGAAAAACAAAGTCGAAAACCGTGAAAGAGGCAGACAATGTGTACTACACGAAAATCACTAAAAGTAAGTTGTGTTAGTTCATATCGCATTGACGAGTTGTTGACTGCTGACTTTACTGTGGCCTAGCTTCACCACTGTACTGACTGACTGAGTTTGGTTTTACGCCGCTTTTAGCAATTTTTCAGCAATATCACGGCGGGGGACACCAGAAATGGGCTTCACACAATGTACCCACGTGGGGATTCGAACCCGGGTCTTCGGCGTGACGAGCCAACGCTTTAACCAATAGGCTACCCCACCGCCTCTCATCACTGTAACTAAACTAGGAAACTAGACAGACATGGTCACCTGACCTCACCAGCGTCGTTAAACCCAATTCACTCACGAACACGTGACACGTTTCCATGTATAACTTCTATGTTTCTTGCCTCCTCAACACAAGAATATAAGTGAAGAGGTTAATGTCGAATAGCTGTAGCCATTCGGAATCTCTCAGCACATAAGGGGCGGCTGGGTAGCCTACTGGTCAAAGCATTCGCTCCCCGGCCGTGATATTGCTGGAATATTGCTAAAGGTGGTTTAAAACCATACTCACTCACTCACTCTTATCTCTATACATAAGCTGTTTCTGATTAATATTTTTGTTCCCGGCGCCAGTAGATTAAAGTTATGCAGTAGAGAACAGACACATTTTTAGCCTTAATGGAGGGCAGCGTATTACCTCTTCCATTTTCAAAGTCATTTAACTGGTCTGGTTCGTAACATAATGTCCTGTTGTTTCAGCTCCCTTTACAACAGCTTCTGTGGCATCATCTCTTCCGACTATAGCTGCACCTAGCGTCGCGAAGAAAGCTAAAGGTTGACTGTAGGGCCAATAAGAATTTACCTTGTAGTTGTTTGATATTAAAAGTAACATCCCAGATTTCCAGATTTCAGAAAACTTCTAACTAACCCCGAGGCCCTTGTGAATATTTGGCGAGTATTAAATGAAATACAAACCCTCAAAATGTTTTTATTTTTGTTGAAGAATATATTGTGTTATTTTATTCGGAAAGGAACATAGAAATATTAGATGTTTCTCCATAAAATTGTTTAACTAAATCATATTCCGCTGAATGATTGGCATAGCTTTTAGAGATAACCAGAAACGTATCGTAGTGAATTGAGTTTCAGGTGTTTTACAATGATGGCAAGACAGTTTGAGACAGACATATTTATTGCAGGAAACATTCCATTGCGGAACAGATGCAATATTTAGATGATAAAACATTAATACATACATTTATGAAACTAATGTAAAGATCCAGGCATTATCCCCGCTTTGGAAACATCTGACGCTCGTAAAATCAGTAGAACACTGACACTCGTGCGTACATGCGTATATGTGTTTCAGACATTTTAGGTCCCTGCTTCTCTGTAAGTAGGAGGACAAATCTTTTGCTAAAACATCGGGAAAATAATTTCTGCCTCATTGTTTTCCAAAACTATTCCACCCCTCCAAAGTCTATCAAGTAAACTCACCCACAAGTAAATTGGCGTCGAGCCATGGTAAAAGTTAAGATCTGGAAAAAAAAGAAAAAAGATCTGGATTATATTTGCCACGGGCGGCGTACGATAAAGACTTAGTAGTCTACGACTTTCCGTACGATTTTAACCATCGTGGATGACGGCAGGCTACGGCGTTAAGTTGGCTACGGGCATCGTGCGATTACCTTGGGGACAGGTCAAGGCAAATCTGCATGGAGGCTGCACAGAAATCGCACGGAGATGGTGCGCTTCCGTGAGGCCACCGCAGCTACTGCACTGATCTCGTACGGAGCACGGGCAGAGGCTGAGCGGTGATCGTGCATTTGCCGTGCGGTTTTTAGGCCTAGAGTCCCCAGTATATGGAAGAGCACTCACATGTTTGTAATGCTCAATGTGGGACCTAAAGGTAAAGGTAAGAAATCTAAAAAGGCCCAACAACCTGCAGAAATAGAACCACCCGTTGAAACTGAATTCGAGAGGCCGACGACGATGATGAGCCAGACGATGAAGATGCTGCCCGTCAACGACAGATTGGTGCAGCTTTTATTAAGATCATTTTTATGACATTAGACATGGGAACTGGACAAATAAGAAATTAAAAGATGCAGAACTCAAGGCGTTTTCTGAGACTAAAGGCTGGGCCCGTAAGTATTTTTGTACAAATTCGTCTTTTTAGATTGCATTCCATTAATTATCCTATGCCATGAAGAAATGAATAGTTTTACATTAACGAAGTGGGTTTCTTCAGCATGTATATTATGTTTTCTTATGTCCATTTCTGCCACGGATATCTATGAGCTTTTTTGTCTCTGTTGTTGTTTGCAGCTGCCAAAATTCTACGCATGTGGAAAAACTGGCGACCTGACTACAGCCGCAAATCCAACCAAGGGGCGTCAAAGAGGACCCGGCTGCAGAAATGTTTATGGAAGCAGGAGCGTTTGGCCTTTCTAGCACCGATTATAGTCCACAAGTCGGGCAAAGGCATCGAGATTGGAGGGGTAAGCATCGTCTCCGATAATGTTGATTGTGTGTAATTTCTCACGAGTTATATTTTTCTCACGTCTAAACGTCCATCCGTTGTTCCAGGGTGCAAAGGACGAGGTAACACAAGAGGGGTCGGGGACGAAGAGTCAGCTCCCAGTCCCCACATCCTCCACAGTCCCCGCGGTTACCACATGCCAAGAAGAGAGCAGCCCGCGTCCAGGCCGCAGTACGTCTGCGTCTTTGAAGAGAGAAAGTGCAGACGACACAAAGAAGTCCGGAAGGGAAGTCAGCACCAACCTGTCACAGCTGCTGGAGGAGAATCGTAAGAAGGACACCGAGCTTTCACTGAAGGTAAAACAGATACCAGTCCCCGTACTAAGCCTTTTTCCCACCCATGAGCCCATCTATCTCTATAAAGGTGGAATTAAAACAAAAAACAAATGGTGTTAAATTTCTTTTTCGTCACAATCATACTTATTGCATTTGTAAATGTGTGAAACATCTAATGCTTACTTCCCCAGACTGATCAGTCCACGGAGCAGGCGTCGGAGAGGGACGCTGCGTGTCTGGGGTCCGTCGTCCTCCAGGTCCCTAGTATCAGAACGTCATCCCCCTGCAGCAACCCTTTCAGCAACCCCTCCAGCCCATGTCTCCGTCGTGTGCCGTGCACCTGACCTGTTGCAGCAACCAGCATAATATCGCAGGCATATTCTGCTGTTAACAAAGAGGACACCCCGCTCAACCTCAGCGATCTAAAACACAGCAATACTCTCACGAGAGACATTCACAATTCAACCAATGCCAGTGGCTAAGATGCTGATGACCATTTACCACTGGACCGCTCCTGTTATCACCTATCCGTGAAGACCCGGGTGTGAATTGGTCTTCAGTAATTCATGATGTTCGTAAGAGGCGACTAACGGGGTCGGGTGGACTGGCTCACTGACCTGTTTGACGCATGTCACCGTATCCCAGTTGTGTAGGTTGATGCTCATGCTGTTGATCACTGGATTGTGTGGTTCAGATCTGATTATTTACAGACCGCCGCTATACATCTGGAATATTGCTGTGTGCGGCGTTAAACAACCGACCAACCAACCAACCAACCAACCAAACAGTCATTACCTAGAACATTGATAGTATCGCCACAAGAAATGACAATGGCTCTCATTGGACATTATTTGCTAACTATTTTTTACGCATGTTTCATGATACTGAAAGCAGTGACGTCTTGTGCGGTGAAACTTTAGTTACAAAAGTTACTTTGTGAAAAGATGAATACAGACAATAAAGATTTTAAAACTTGAATTGTTTTCTTTTTTTACATCATAACCAATCCCAATCCAATGTAAAACCTTTATAGAATTGAAAAGGCTTATGATATGCACACAAAGATATCAAACAGCATATCGGTATGTGGTCTCTGATTGTATACACAAAGAGGTTATATGCATATGAGCACTAGATGGAACACAACCCAATAGCTGTTAAGTGCTGACTCTTGCCATCGATCAGGTAGTACTACTTGAGTTGAGTCTTCAGCACCTTTCCATCACGGGTCTCTCTGGGTCCTAGCAAGACCATCATGGTGCCATCCCTCAATACACCTGTCACTATGCCGCCATCTGCATCCTCCTGGTAGTCTGTCATACAGGCCTTGAAACAAAATATCCAAGAAAACAGATGCAAGTCTAGATTATGTCGCAAGTCTAGATTTCCACGGTTTCTGAAAATGAAAGTCTCAGGGGATCTTTTCCTGTAAAATATGTTCATTTCAGAGTCTAGTTGTTAGTCTATCCTCCTAGTAGGGATAAGTCTGTTTCACAGTCACTGAACCATATTATTTTCCCTACAGCTTAGCCCTCCTTGAAAAATTATAAGCTCTAAATGAAGCAAGTCTAGAATTCCTCAATGTCTAGTCTCCCTGGGGATTCTTTTCAATTTAAATGGGTTTGTTTGTTGCTATCAAAATTACATATATTCAGAGACTAAGCGTTAGTCTAATACCTCATCTACAGTTGTCCATTTTAGGAATGGACGACACGGGGTGAAAAGTAAAGATTTTTGCTGACATTTAAAACACTACATTATGTACTGCCTTAGTGTGTTTTTTTGTAGGTAAAAGATCGTTTGTCAGTTCGATAAAAAAAAATTGAAAAATGTGTCTCTTTCCGGACTTATTCATTTGATATACACTCTTTAAAAAAACAATATAACGCACAGGCGTTTTCAGCAGTTCATTTCGATATATTTTGACATCAATCGCCATTGACACAATTTCTATGTTTGAATCCCATTAATGATGTCGTGGTTTAATGTGTTTGTAAACGTTTTTCATACAACGTGTCAGAAACATGAATTGAGACATCCACTATAAAAAGGCCAAACCAAATTCATCATTTCATTACGAATTTACGATGTAGACGAAGATATAAAATCCCAAGATTGAATGCTACTGACCGAAATATCGCCATTGGAAGCAGGAGAGTCCCGGTCTGCCGTTGCAAGACACTTCAACGTCCACCACAGCACCATATTTCGATTATGGCATCGATATACCCGCTTCAGTTCGACCCAATATCGTCCCAGAACTGGAGGTCCATGAGTGACCACTCATGCTCATTACCGATTCATCCGGGTGTTTCACCTACGTCACCAATTTGCTACAGCAACGGACACTGCAGGACAGGTACCTGGTCTTCGAAGAATTTCCGACGAAACCATCAGAAATAGTCTGAGAGAAGTGGGAATTCGAGCATATCGACCAAAAGTTGGACCTGTCCTGACACGACTACACCGACAGCGACGTGTCCAATGGTGCAACAGGGTACAGGCATGGAACCTGGGGAACTGACGACGCGTTTGGTTCAGCGATGAATCACGTTTCCTGCTGCAACGACGTGATGTGAAACAACGTGTCTATCGACGTCGACAGGAACGTTTTGGCGCCGGACTGCGTTCGACAGGTGGACAGATTTGGTGGAGAAAACGTGCCCTACACGGGTACATCAGAGCTAGTGGTGGTTCAAGGCAATCTTACAGCAAATCGCTATATCGACTAAATCCTGCGACCTCACATCCTCCCACAGGGAGCTGTTTCAACACGACAACGCTCGACCCCGCACATCTCGTGTGACTGGTGCCTATCTCGCCAGTGCAATGTCCTTCCCTGGCCTTCCAAATCGCCTGGTCTAAACCAAATCGAGCAACTTTGGGACGAACTTGATCGACGCGTACGTAAACTCTTGTAGAACTTGCCAACGCGTTGCAGGAGGAATGGTAGTCTGTCTCACAGTCCCTGAACCACATTAATTTCCCTGCTGCCAAGCCCTCTCTGCAGTGCTAAAGCCCTAAATAAAGCAAGTCTAGATTTCCTCAGGTACTTGAATCTCCCAACTCGCTGGGTCTCAGAGGATTCTGAATCTCTGGTCTACCTAGGGCTCCTTTTCAATATATATGGGCTTGTTTGTTGCTATCAAAATTATATATATTCAGAGGCTAAGCCTTAGTCTAGAGGAATGGCGAAGAATTCCCCAAGTAAAAAACATTGCAATCCTTCCAAGATGGTGTCGAGCAGTGACAACTGCAAGGACTGGTGTCACCAGGTACTGATGTGAACGCCCCCTTTGTGTCCACACATGTGCAGTGAGTGAACTGAATTAATGCTGACAATGACAATACATATGTTCACCCGTGTGTCGAATTTCCTTTATCTATGTTCAAGCTTAATCGACTTATGTACACTTAAATACGATTAACATGTCCTTATTTGTGGCATGTGCGTTTCTTTTTTGAAGAATTTATTTACCAGTCTAGCAGTTTTACATTACCTTAATTACAAATGGGCATTCAGTTAGCAATTTGTGACGTCAAAATCTGGAATGGAAATGATCACTTGTCAAGGCTGACAAGGACACGAAGCATGGTTATGAAAACATACCACTCAACCATGCGCTATGCTGTCAGTATACTTGAACGTGACATGAGCAGAGTTGATTGTGATCAGTGTTGGTATAAACCAATGGGCTGTAACCAACTTGGTCATGTGATGATATTCGATTGTGTACAGTGTGAGATATACGTCTGACAAACACACACATGAGTTAACACACAAAGTTCATTGAGGCACCTACTACTTTCGTCTCTGGCCCAAGAGCTCGAGGAACATGTACGTTCGAGCAATATAATATGTAAATAAATAAGAATACTTATAAAATAAGAAAACCAATATGGCTCTTTGTGTCTGTACTATTTACCTTACATCCTCTAATAAAACCAGGGGCGGTGGGGTAGCCTAGTGGTGAAAGCGTTCGCTCGTCACGCCGAAGACCCGGGTTCGATTCCCTACATGAGTACAATGTGTGAAGCCCATTTCTGGTGTCGCCTGTCGTGATGTTGCTGGAATATTGCTAAAAAGTATCCTCATCCATTAATAAAACCAGCTCGAATGAAAAATTATGCCCCACTATCAAACATTGTCCAAATGAGTGTGAGTGAATGAGTGAGTTTAGCTTTACAATATTCCAGCAATATCACGGCGGGGGACACCAGAAATGGTTGGACTGTAACGATGCATCGAACTATCGATAGACTGCAATTGTTGAGTCTCAGATAGCAATTAATCGATGGTAGAAACAAAAAAAAACTATCGATGCATCGATAGTATGTGTGACTATCGATAGTTTAGTAAACTGATAAATACAGGAAGTACCAAGATTTGTTCGCTTTGATTTTTTATATGTGCAGACTTGCAGCATCATCGAGTTCATGTTATAACTGTTTACTTGATCTGGGTTTCAAGTTTCTTGTCAGTTATTAAAAGAGACTGAAACTACTTCGACTTGTTTTTATTTCTTATAAACTATACATTCATTTGGGAAATGACTTCAAATGGGACATTTCAAAGAGAAAAAACTATTGCAATGGTTTGTCGCAATAGACGATCGCTATCGCAATAGTATGTTGCAATAGACTGTCGCTATATCGCAATAGTTGTTTCCACCTCAGTAGCCCTGAGAAATGGGCTTCACACATTGCGCCCATGTGGGCGTGACGAGCGAACGCCTTAACCACTTGGCTACCCCACCGCCCTTTTGTCCAATTTATGATTTTATACTGAGGCCAGTTTTTACTTTTTATTTTCATAGACACTTTTGAAATCATACTATTGTCGTCTACATCTTAGCTTTGGACAAAGAAAACAAAATGAAAGGTGGGGAAACGTCAGAGGTTAACGAAGGAGCAAGCAACATAACTTTCGTTTGACACATTTCTGTGATTGATTAATGAATCATGATACATGGTAGCCTGGTAAAGCATGAGTCGTTGGTATTGAAAGGAAATGTTACTCCTTTTTTCGTTTTATAATGGTTTTTTGTGGGACATTTAATACCGCGTGAGCACTTTAGATGACATGATTATCAATTGCTCATGCGGAAGTACTTGAGCACTCGGAAACGAAGCGGACGTAAAATATCCCACTGGCCGTATTAATCATGATTGGGTTTTACGTCGTGCTTGAGAATTGGGTGCGGTGAGAGAGATAGGACTGAATCCACTTGAGATCAGTGCCAGTTATACCGATTGTATAGATGGGACATAATGCCGCAGACGATCTGAGAGGTAGACTGGAGCTGTGTTTGCCATGCACTGGTATGCGAGATAGAGGAGTTTGAAGGAGATTCTGTATTTCACGGGCAGCCAATGGAGGTCCTTTAGAGTTGGTGTGATGTGCTGTTTTCTGGGGTTCTGGGAGGTATTGCGGGCAGCTACGTTCTGTATGCGTTGGAGGTGAACAGTGATGCAGGATGGAGATCCGGCCAAAAGGTTGTTACAATAGTCCATACGAGATTGTGGTCTTCTGCAACAGAGCCAAGTGATACAGTGTAAAGGGTGAAGAGAATCGGACCAAGCACGGATCCTTGTGGAACTCCTTACTCAAGCTGAGATTGACATAGACTCATCAACAACAACGACGTGAGTCCTGTCCTGTAGATAAGATGCCAGTCAGGTTAAAGCTGAATCTTTGATTCCATGTTCTGTATCAAGTCTTTTGAGGAGCCTCTGGTGATCGATCGTGTCGAAAGCACTGCTTAGGCCAAGTAATGTGAGCATGGCCACTTGTCCTGTGTCAATACCACAGCGTAGGTCATTCAGGATCTTCAGCAGAGCCGCCTCTGTGATGTGGTGTGCTCTGTAGGCTGGTTGAAACACCTCAATGCCGGGAAAGCTGGCCCATGAGACGACTGGAGACTGCGCGTTCACTGAGCTTGGATATAAACGATAAGTTTGAAACAGGTCTGTAGTTT